TTTGACTCTGGTGGGCCAGGAATGGTGGTCTGGGAAGGAGGTGGTGGTTTTAGAGGAGTAGGAAACAGCTGAGCCCTGTTGGCACAGTGGAAATGATCCAGGTTTTTTTGCTGCCAGAGAGCAGTCCAAGCTGCTCAGACAATAAAATAGAAGTGAGGTAGCAGCAGGAGTCTGGGTTTAGGAGTGGGTTTCTGAAGTGAGTCTGGAGATAATTTCGAAGGGACACCTTCCACTGTCTCAGGCTGCTCCAAGCCCCATCCAACCTGGCCTTGAACACTTCCAGGGATGGCGTGTATAAAACCCCTCTGAGCAACCTGTGCCAGTGCCTTTTTCTCGATTAAACCAAAACTGGATGGTGCTAACGTGCTCCAAACATTGACCCAGACAATAGGATCAGGCTTTGACAGGTCTGAAGTAAAGCTCCTGAAGTACATCTGGTGTGAATGGATTTTAGCAGGAAGTGCCCCTTTACAGGGAGGAATAACGTGATGACAAAGGTGCATGTCCCTCTCAGACCATAGGACAGGACTGATGTTCCAGTCTGGAAGGCAGGAGCTTAAAAATATTTTCTTTCTGCCCTAATCATGGTTTATCTCCCAGCAAAGGCACTAAGTTCTTGCATTCCTTCCTTGTCCTCCAACCCCACTGCTCTTTCTCTGACCATTTTGAGTCCATCCCCATGATCTGGAGAGGGTTATTGTGCCCTCTCTTCAACAACTGTATGATCCCAACCTCCAAACCCCATCTCCCTCTCAGAAGTGCCATTGAGGCATCTGCCACCAACTTGATGGGGAAACTGTGCTGAAGCATCACCCTCCCATGGATCCCTCAGCAGCTGGGGAGACCCAGATAACGCTGAAAAGCACCAGTCGAGTGATAGAAGGTACCTTCCACCTTCTTTCATCTCCCAGACCCATGGGCTGCTCGCCAGGATGCCTGTGGGTCTAGCCATGGCCAGGGTGGGAGCTCAGAGAAGGCCAGAGCCTGTGTCTTTAAAGATTAATAGTGTTGTTTGCTCATTAAGGGGATCGTTTTGAAGTCAGCGCTGGCCAGAACATTCGAGTGCAAGCATCTGTTTGCTACTGGGAGAGGATATTTATTGTCTGATACTTCAATGGATGTAAATAAACAGCCCAGGCCCAGATAATGTTCAGACAAACAAACAAACAGCTGCCAGAATGGGTCCCCTGGTAGCTGACCTTCGGGAAGCATCATTGCTGATGTTTTAATAGCAGCCGGCTCTGCAGAGCGGAGCCTTCCAGGAAGCAGGATTAGTGCTGGGCCCCGGGAGCCCCCACGTGTGTGGTGGGTTAAACGAGGGCAGGGCAGCTCGGGGTGCTGAGCTGAGCATCTTGTGGCCCAAGGAGCCAAGACTGACATTTAGGCAGCGGGAGCAGGTGGAGGATCCTGCGGTGGAGGTGATGAGGGTGTTTGTGGATCAGTGGAGGTTGGAGTAGACTGAGCATTTTGAGATTTGTTTGTGGTCCTGGAGCCCCTCCATCGCTTCTTGCTCCCCTCCCTCTTGCCTTGCAGAGGTGCTCGTGGTTCACAGGCTCTTTCAAGGAGCAATCCCAAGTGGACTGTCAGTCAGGCTCTCATCCCACAGCCTAATAAGATCATCTTGAATGTAAGAACACCTATATTTCAGTCCAACTCTATTTATGTGAGGCTTGTGGCTGATGCCAGCAAAGAAGAGCAGGAACAGAGCAAATGGCTGGTGTGTGCTTCAAATTCCCTGCAGTTGGGAACTTGGGGAGCTTCCCAAGCAGAGATTGTGTCTGTGTTCCTGACTTTAGTGATGATCACCTGATGGGAATCTTCTCATTTCCCCTTCACAGGTTCTTCTTTTGATTTTTTTTTTGGTTTGTTTGTTATTTTTTTTCCCTACCCTGCTCCTGGTGGGAGCCTTGGAGCCAGGAATAAATCTCTCTTAAGGAGAAACTGTTGTTGTGTTGTCTGGTGCTCAGGGCTGTGAAGAATGTGCAGGAAACTTGGAGATCCTTTGGGCTCCGTGCCTGGGGTCCAATATAAAAAAGGCAGAGTTTAAGGCAGGTAAAGGCTTGTGTTAAAGGCCAGACTTCTGGCTGCAGTCTCCAATAATCACCTCATTGCTGGCTCAGGGCTTGCACAGTCTGTGCAGCGTGGGTTGATGTCTGCCAGATTTTCTGGCCTTTTTCTCAATTTTCTTTTTTTTTTAGCTACTAGTTTTAACCTGAGAGAGAGGTCTCTGCACTTACATGTGTGTGCATGAGCTCACGTGTGTGTGTTTGCACACGGACGGTGGAATGAACCCCTCTTCCTTCCTCCCTCCCTCCCCCTCGGCAAAATAATGACTTTTCAGGCAATTAGGCCGGCAATAGCTGTTAAATCACTTCCGAGGAGCTCTGTGTTCCTGGTGTGAAGCCTCTGCGATCTTTTACCTGCACCGAATGCACGGGGGAGATCCCCGGGGGCTGTGCCTCCTGTCTCCATGGTTTGTTAACTCCAGCAGGCTGTTTCTCCAGCCTGCCTTTTCCATCTCCCAGCTCTTTCCCCTCTAATGGGGCCCGGCAGAGGCTGAGGACAGTGACTGAGCCCTGGGGTGATAATTGCCTCCTTACATATCTGGTGGCCTGCAGATCTGACCCCGATGATGCTGGAAAATCAAGGTCAAAGCAGTGAAGATGTGAGGTTTGTTTAGCACAGGGATCAGCAGAGGGTGAGGATGCTCTGACAGAGACGAGCAGCCACGAGGGACAGGGGGAGAGGCAGAGAGGAGACAGCACACAAAGCTCACTGACTGCTCCCTGAGAGAGAGAACTTGGACCTGGAGAGCCTCAGTGGGAAATGGGAAAGGCCCCTGCTTTGGGGGTATTTGAGCTGCCCGGGGCAGAGCCCCATTAGGGAGACTCCTGTGCTCTCAACCTGCAGCCCTTTCCCCCTCCTTCCTGGTCCTGACTGTCCTAATGGGAATGACTCATCCTGAGCCCATTGGCATCTTTGCCCTTGGCCTCGTGGGTGATTCACCTCGGGTGTCCACTTCCAAGAAGAAAGATTTGAAGGAGCTGAATTCACCCATGAGGGACCGCAGAAATGAGCCCTTTTTCCCCCCAGGCAGTCAGAGCCAGAGGCAGGAAGGGATGCTCGGAGTTGGGCTTCAGGCCCTGACCTCTTTGTGTGTGGATGCTGAGACATGTGTTGCTGTCATCACCAGATCCATCAAGATGACAAATGACCTGCAAGACCCTCTGGTGTCATTTGACCAGCCCAACAGCCAGTGCCTGCACGTGCACCCACTTCTGTGGAGGTTCATGGACAGAACGTAGGATCTGAGCATCCCTGAGCACCCTCCACACCCTTTGCTGGCACAGGGAGCCCCTCTAAGTCCTTTCTGCTTCATTTTCCCTGTCTTTCCCAGGGAAATCATATTTCTTTGTTGTCCCACAGCAGGTGAGTAGGTTGAGGAAGGACAAAGATAAGACCCTGTAAATCCTTGCTGCCCTTTGCTCATACAGCCTTTCTCAGACCCTTTAGCCATTCCCTCCCTTCCTTTCACTTTGACTTTCTAACACAGAAGATGATTCAGGCTCAGTTTCTTGGCTGAAAGGTTGATACAGAAGGAACAAGCTCATGGACTGTGCCAGGGAACAGTGGGATCTGGTCTTGGTACCATAAGTTCTCCATAACAGCTCGTTATTCCCTTTGGATGGGAAGGGTGATTTTTGCTCAGCTACCAAACTGCACGAGTGCAAACCAGGGACTGGGCAGCTTTGGTCAGGAAGGTGTGGACATCATGATGTGGAGGAAGATGCAGATCTGCTACAGCTTTGTTTCTTCTAGAAAAGGACAGTGTGATGTTTGTGTTGCTACAGGGTAGAAGATTTTCGGAAAGTGAGAGGCAACACAGAGAAAACATAGTGAGGGAGATAAGGAATGTGGATGCATCTTGAAATGCATGGCTGTGGGGTTTGCTGCTGTAAAGAGCCTCACAAGATCCAGAAGGACTCCTGTGAATAGCTAGTTTATCCTGAATTGTTATATATTAAAAGGGATTGCAAACCTTCTCCAGTTGGTTTTTGAACCCAGCTCTCGAAATCATCTTTAGACAGGTAAAGAAACCTCTGCTATTTTCTGCATTTTCATCTGTATCACTGGATCACAGTCAGGGATAGACTGGGAACTGCGTGTCTCGTTCCTCCTCATAATCCCAGTTATTGATGTTCCTAAGTGACACCCTGTTATGAGATGTGTCTGGAATCATAAGGTGCCACATTCGTGCAGGACCGATTTCAATATCTGATATGTGCAATCAGCAAGAGGAATAGTCTGTGTTGCACTGAACACTCTGCAATAACGTATTGCCTCGTGGAACATTAGCAAGAAGAGCAATAATATTATCTGAGTAGCATTTGAGTGAGTCAGTCCTTCAGGCTCTTGTGTGTTTTTTTATCTTTTTTGCTCATCGCCACCACAAATCCTTCCCTTGTGCCATCATTTTCAGCGTGGTAGATTTGTCCAGGCAACGACAGCAGCACAGTGACAGTGCCAGATAAAAACAAGCAGGCCCTGGATTGTTCTTCTCCAGTGATCTTGTGCTGATGGGACCAGCAGAGGTGGTTAAATCTGCTTTATCCTTTCAGTGAGGAGGCAGGGAAAAGTCCACTTTGTGGTGACAGGGGTTGTTGTCCAAAAAACCTGGAGCACAATGCATTTCTCCAATGATTATTATGTACATATTATTATAAAAATATATATATTACTGTGAGGGTGGTGAAGGCCTAGCACAGGTTGCCCAGAGGAGCTTTGGCTGCCCCATCCTTGGAAGTGTCCAAGGCCAGACTGGACAGGGCTTGGAGCAACCTGGGCTAGTGGAAGGTGTCCCTGCCCATGGCAGGGGGTTGGAATTGGATGATCTTTAAGGTCCCTTCCAACTCAAACCGTTCTGTGATTCTATGATTATTGTACATTTTCAGTGGAAGGAGGAAAAATGCTCATGCCCTCTCCCTGCTTTTGTTTTTCAGATCCGTGTGGACGGCACCAATAAGAACACCCTGGAGTATGAGATTGTGCAGGTGGTGGACACCGGCCCCATCCTGAGGGACATGGCCTTCTCAGTGGACCACGAGCACCTCTACATCATGTCTGAGAAGCAGGTAAGAAACTCCACCAGTCCATGGTGCTTTAAAAGCTTTTGGCTCCATCGTTCCCTGGACATCAGGACTGCAGGTGAAGTTCTGACAGTGACCACAGCTTCTACAAAGATGTGCTCTGTTGTTGATCTCATGGCTTTTCATGCTCAGAAACCACTGCATCTGTACACTGATGCAATATTTAGGGGTCAGGGGCAGAGAAATAAGAGGGCAGAAACCACCCCCAGCGTTGCTTTGTGCAGTCCACGTCCTGCTGGCTGCACGACAAGGATCTTCTGCTGCATCTGCTGGTACCACGTTGCTCTCCACCCCCACTCAAACTGTGGCTGCATCTGCCACAGACGTGGAAAAGTGTAATGCTGAATCATTTGGCTCCAAGTGGAGTTTTTGGAGAGGCTGGAGCCTCTCAGAGACGCAGTGACTGAGAGTGTAGGGCGCTGCCTGCCAGGGTGCAGGCCGTGTTTCATGTGATGTCCCTGTTGTGTAATTTGTATTATTTTTGAAAATGCTAAACAGCCAGATCCCAGGGAAGGATCAATCTGGGCGTTCAGCATGGAAGTCTGGCTGGTTTCAGCAGAGTGCTTGGCCTTGGGAAATTTGCTGTTGGGGTGGGAGGAGGAGGAACGACTTTTGCATGAAAAAAATCCACTGTGTATAATTAGACTTGTGGACGTGCAGGGTTACTTGAGTTATTGTAACTGGTTTATTCAAAAATGCTCATGGGGAGCTTTAGCTCCACAGAAATCAAGGGAGCAGTGAGGGATTGTGTTTGGGTGATGGCAGGTGCCCTACAGTGCCACTTCAGTGGAGGTCACCAGTCCAATTGAGACCCATACAGATGTTCCAGGATTCATTGAACCCCGGCCTTGGATGATGTAAGTGGTACCAGACATAAAACAGCCACCTGATATTCTCCTTACTGTCTTTATGAATGGCCTGGAGGACACCTGCCACCTTCAGAGCAGTGTGATTACCTCCCAGTATCACCCAGTTCCCTAACACCAAGGTCCCCTCCAATGACCTGCTGGGTGCTCCCACCCTCTGACAGCACCGGTGGTCAACAGTCAGCGGCCTCAAGGATGGAGATGGGGCCCAAAATCCCCTCTTCTCATCCACCCTCGTGGCAGTTTTACCACCCACAAATCCCTGCCTTAAAAAGGCCACAGTGAATAATCATCTCCTCCTCACCTGCCACGATTTTACAGACCTTCCTCATATCCTCCTCAGGTGGCTGTTTTCCAGACTGTGGCTAACAGTGGAATTATTAACCTTTACCTAAGATAACAGGAGTTTTGTCCTGGCCTGTAAGGCAGAGATATGTGAGATTTTGGAGGGAGGTGTTCAACAGGGTTGCTGTGATCCAAGGGCTCAGATGTGACAGGCTGTTAGTGCTTCTCCCCAGGCACAGTAGGAAGGTTATATTTGCCAACCTATGAGTGTCATTTCTTCTGTTTGAACCGCTTCATTTGAAGTGTTTTGTGCCTCTGTGATCTCTCTGACCATTTCCCTCTATTATGGATGTTTCTACCTAAAATTTAGTGAGGGGGGGGAGCAACTCTATACATCCATCCTCATTAAAGAGGCTGTGAGACGTTGTAATTCAGGAGAACAGGACATGATGACAGAGCTGGGATTGCTTTCCAATCTCCTCCATGCTGGGCAAGAATTGGATGTCACCTCCAGTGCTGAAGTGAAAAGAGTCCCAGTCACCTGCTGGGATGGGGTGGGAAGCTGGAGGCAGGTGATGCTTGAGGTCCTGTGAGGCTTTGGTCATGGCACCGTTCCTTTTTCATGTTCTTTTACTGTGTGGGCCCTTCCTCTTTTTCTTCTGCATAGAAGGGGTCAAAGCCCTTGAGCATGTTGATATGGCAATAACCAATCCACTGGTTTCAGATTTGCTCCTCAGTGTCCTTTTTGTGCAGGTCCATTTGGCATCGAGTCACCTCAGATACCACCCCTGGCTTTGTACAGCCCTTCAGACTCACAGAGACAAGATGTTTGGCTCCCTTGGGCTGGTTGGGCTCATAACACCCGGGAACTGTCTCAAATCTCTGTAGGAAAGGCCAGTGGGATAGCAATGTTCAATCCCTCACTTCCTTAAGAAATGAAATATGGAACAAGAGGAGCGATTTGATTTTCCTCCAGAGAGTTCCATGAACATATTCTTGCTGATATGGTGACTACCTACATGTGCCTGACCCTTAAACAGGAGTGGGTTCAGTTTGTGGTTGGCTATTCTAAAGCACAAGCTTAGGCAGGTTTTGATGGGGCCCTAGGTTGTTGATGGAGCCCTGCAGAGAACTCAGGAGCGCTGAGTCCTGCGGGATTTATTCAATCATCTCCTCCCACCCTTCTTTGAAGCTCATGGGTGTCTCTGTGAGAGAGGTTAGTGAAAAGGGCAGGGACTGTTGTTATTTAAAACCTGATCCCATTTTGTGAAACACTCAATGCTACAGAAGCCTTTGCCCAAGTCTGATTTTATCTGAGGCGTAGCAAGTGATGTGAGTGACAGAGCTGCCACCACGGCGGTGCAGTCACTGCCTGTGTGCTCATGATACAACACACTTCAAGTGCTTGAATGAATTAGCATTTGTAGAGCCTTGGTGGCTGAGAGTGGGTGCAGGGGTTGTGCTGGAGGCAGGATTAGGAACAGCTTGGCCTTGGGGAGCAAATATCCCATCCACCCTACAAGACACGTCATACAGATCTTTTCAGAACTGGATGATGGTCTGACTTATCAGGGGTTTTCACTGCCCACAGTGCTATTGTCAGGCCTGTGGAGGTGAAGGACAGGAGGGTGATGGCTTGACCTGACCTTTTTAAAGACAGGCATGCTCCAGGGCTGGTCCCATCCCTGGGGAAGGAGGAGGTTCCTCCTGCCTCTGTCTGCTGGGCTCAACCCTGCCTGTGCCCCAGAGATAAGAGGGGTTCTGTTGGCTGCATAGTTGCTCCACTAAAAGCTGTTTTCAGAGAATCACGGGATCATTAAGGTCAGAAAAGACCTCCAAGACCGTAAGCCCAACCTTTGACCAAATACCACCACACCCATTAACCCATATTGGGAAGTGCCACATCCACTCACTCTTTGAACACTTCCAAGGGTGGTGACTCCACCACCTCCCTGGGAAGCCTGTTATAAAGTCTGACCACTCTTTCAGTTCTTAATATCCAACCTGAACCTCTCCTGGTGTGACTTGAGGCCATTTCCTCCTGTTCTGTGGCTGGTTGCCTGAGAGGAGAGACCGACCTCCACCACACCACCACCTCCTTTCAGGCAGTTGCAAAGAGCAGTAGGGTACCCCAGAGCCTCTTTTTCTCCAGGCTAAACAGCTGCTCCTCATAGGATTTATGCTTCAAACTCTATGGTTTTGCCAGACTTGGCTCCATCACTCACCAGTCCTCAACAAGAGTGGAAGCCCCAGTGATAAATCCAATTTCTCCAGCTTGTCCCAGTCCTATCGTGGCTCTGACAGTCCTAGCAGGGCACCTTTAACCTGAAACACCTTCAAAGAGCTGTCACTATAAATCAGGCTACAAGAAGCAGCTCTCTTGTGATGCCAAATATATATATATATATACATATATCTCCCCTGACCTTTTTTAAGGTCAACTTCTGCACTGAGCACTTTCCTCAGTGCACCTGGGGGTCCTTGGGTTGCACAGGGGATGTTTTCATCTGGAGCTGAACTCTCTGGGCTGCAAAGAGGGAATTCAGCTCAGCCCTGTGGTCTGTGGCTGAAGCAGGTCCTCCCCTGCAGCTCTTCTGAACATCAAGGGGTGACAAGCAGCTCCTGCCCACTCTGAGCCATGAAGTGCTCTTGGCAGGAGGATGCAGCAGCTTTTCACCATCAGAGGGGCTCCATTATACAGAAACACGTATTTTAGAGCAAGATTGATTCAAAGAGGGAGGATTTGTCACTCAAACCCAGAGACAGAGTATATATATAAAGGTCCCATGATTTCAGGAGTTGTGGCCATATGTGTGCTTGAGGTGTGAACATGTGTTTCAAGTCCCTCTTGATGGAGCAGGGAAGGGTTGGAGCACACATGGGATCTGTCTTGATTTATCAGGAGATCATCCACTTAGCCCCAGCCTTCACAAAGCCTCTGAGAGAGGTATAAGTCACTAGACCAGGTTCTCTGGGCAACCTGTGCCAGGGCCTCACCACCCTCAAAGTCAAGATTTCTTCTCAATATCCAATCTAAACCTTCTCTCTGTCAGGTTGAAGCCATTCCCCCTTGTCCTGTCACTCCATGTGCTTGTGAACTGCTCCCCTCCAGATTTTTTACATCACTACACTGAAGGCTTGGACTGTTTCTTTTCCCTTTTTCTGTTTCTGGTGTGCAGACCCAGAGGAACCCTCTGCCTCACAGGCTGATCTAAGGGGATGAGGAGCAGATGGGAAGTGCTGCTGGAGGAACAGGAGGGTCTTTGCTGCAGTGTCTCTGCGTCTCCCTCCTCATCACACACGCACAGGCCTCCTGGGCTCCCTCTTCCTCCTCTAATATTTGAATTTCTTTCTCTTCCCAATGGAGAAGCCCAAGCCTAGAAGCTCCCTGGAACTCTCTGCAGGGGTTGAGATAATTCTTTCACCATTTTCCCACTCACCCTGCCTCTCTGTCTGATCCCATCCCTCTTAATGGCCCTGTCCTCTCATTTGTGGGCTTGCACTTGCTTTTCCATTGCTCCTCCACCCCTGGTATCCCTGTTCCTTTGCTCTCTCCTCTCCCAGCTCTCCCCACACTGCTGAGTGTCTGACACACACACAGAGCTCAGCTCTCCACGCCAAGAGGAGCTTTGGATTAGCCCTTGGAAGGTCACCTCCTAAATAACCCCCTAAATAACTGTTTCAGCAGGTTGGACTCCTGGGTCTCCCCCAGTGCTGGGTGTGTTTTGCAAAGCTGATGCAGAACCTGGAAAGCAACTCCAAGACAAAGGAGTCCCAGCTCTTCCCTTTGATACAGAGGGATCAAAGGGAAGAGCTGGAGAAAGTGAACTTAAA